ATTCTATGGCTCTAAAGGCCCTACCGTTGGAACCAAGGTTAGCAATTATCCCCCATGCCCCCAACCAGATCTCATCAAAGGACTTCGAGCACACACCGATGCCGGTGCCATCATCCTACTTTTCCAGGATGACAAGGTCAATGGCCCCGAGCTTCTTAAAGACAGTGATTGGGTTGATGTGCCACTCCATTGTCATCAACACTGGCGACCAATTCGAGGTATGCCCAACAGTCAAAGCTACCAAAACTCGTGTTTTTTTTATTCTGTGTTTGCTTATTATTGGTCTCGAATTGAGATGAAATCTTAATTCCTTCCAACTTTGTGTGAAGGTAATTACAAATGGAAAGTACAAGAGTGTGATGTACATAGTGATTGCGCATACAGATGGAAATAGAATGTCCCTTGCATCATTCTACAATCCTAGAAGCGATGTTGTGATCTATCCAGCACCAGAATTGGTAGAGAGAGAAGAGAATAGAGAGTTGCACACAAAATTCGTGTTTGAGGACTACATGAAGCTTTATGCTGGTCTCAAATTCCAAGCTAAAGAACCAAGATTTGAAGCCATGAAGGCCAGGGAAAACACAACTAATTTGGGTCCAATTGCTACTGTTTAAGTAGTTATTAGCTTAAAATTTTTGTTGTTTATGTATGCTTATGAGCTAAAATCTTTAGCTAGTGAATCTATTGAAAAGTCTCTATCTTCTCAGTCCAATCTTTGTGTTGAATTTTACTGTATTTTCTGTTCATCAAAGAATTTGTCTATGTTGAATTTTACTGTATCGTACAAATTTTTTTGACAAAATTTTTTGATAGACACTTGACATGACAACACTGGAAGATGAAAAAAAAAAAAGCCATTCAGATTTGGCCGCGTAAGTTTCTGTATCAATTCTATCAATTTTTTTCTCTTTTTGGAAAAGTAATTGTTCAGTTGATTGCTCCGTCAAATCAAACAGCTAGTTTTACTGAACCTAAAAACAAAATAATCCAATCAAGTGGCTCTCTTAGAGATTCGTGGTTCTCTTCTACTTTTTGCCAACAGAAATTGAATATTTGTTAATAGTCTTGTTTATGTTAAGATTGAATTCTGTATTGATTAAGTTAACCCCAAAATTTGGTAGAATCAAGCTATCAAGATCTCATGGCCACCATTCCGTCCATCTAAACGTTGTTTGCACAAACATCATAGTAGAGGCAAAGGTCGTCGTTCAGGATAAAAGGTCTAGATACTGTTGTTTTCTTTATCTTTTATTTTTTTTTTTAAGAATTTGATTGAAGAATTGATGAAGTTGCTTCCTAAAACTCCTGGCTTGTAAATCAGTAGACAAAGACAAAGAAGAAACAAAATCCAAAGAATAAAAAAGGGATAATAATTTGGACCGAGGAAGAAGTTTGATTGGCTCATAATTATCAGGGTGGAACACCGACCGAGGGATACCATTATTCTTTTTCAAGATAACTAAAATATTTAATTATAAATGTATTTGGTATGTCGATTAAATTCAATTTCCTAACAAATATGATTTTAACTAACGAAAAAATGTAGTATTTTTTTTCTTATAAGGGTTGGTAGAGCTCGTGCATTTTGCGATTGGATTCTAAATAAAATTAGATTACGTAAAGAAATGGTCAAACGTGTAAGCTTGGTTAATTTGGATTCATAAAATAAATGTAAATTAATACTAAACCAATACACTCTTTAACATATTTTAAGTTGAAATATTTATATATACTTGTCAACGTTTAATACACTAACAATTTATAAATTTTTTTACGCACCTTTATTCATTAGACATATTCGAAATAGTTCAGTAGAACATAACAAACACGTTTTAGAAATTATGACAATTTGATATCTATAATTTCGTCTGTTAATACGAAATCAAATATATTTTTCTTTAAAAATTCTAGAACAATAACAAGTTGGCATTAAAGATGCCTTTGATATTTCCGTATATTTAATACAACTAGACTGGACATGATTGCTATGATAAGTAAATTTTTTTTAATCCAAACAATATCACCCCTTCAACATTGTGATTCATAGACTAAAACAAGGAGAGGGAGAAATAGTCGGAGATGGCAAGTTTTCAAGTTACTTACATGGAGAAGAATGAGCTGCAACAATGGAGAAGATCAAAGATGCTTATAAAAACTTGGGTTTCTTTGAGGTATAAATGCATAAAGCCTAAAAAGTTAATGGATTGTTAATTTTGTATTAATATTATTGTTGTAATAAGCTGGTGCATGTATCATAATACTTACACTGAGTTCATGGACAATGTGGAGAGGCTGATGAAACATGTCATGATAAGTGTATTTTATGCACTTATTTAGGTCACTAAACATGGATATTTGGGGGTACCTTTGATAAATTATAACTTAATCTCTTGTATATATTGTTTGTTAAGTAAAACTCGATGATTGAAAGAAATTTTAGAAGAAATGAACGAAAACAAAGGTAAAAAGAAAGATTTTCAAAGCCCAAGGACTAAATTGTAAATATCCAAAATGTTGATTCAAACTAAGTAAGGAAGATTGAATATCGTACAGAGTCAATTAGATGAAATCAGAAGATGAATGATACACAGATGGAAAAGCTCTGATTGGCAAATGTCAATTTGCTGCACAATAACGGAGAATATATAAACGCGCCTAAAAGGATAAAGAACCCATAAAAGTTTACTTGGAACAAAAACTATAACAACGTGGGAATGTGACTACAATAAGTGTAGGTTCTTTTTTCTTTTCATATAATCTCTCAATAATTGTAACTTATCGATGCGGATTTAGTATAATTGAAAGTTTTATTGTTTTAAATAGGGTAATTAGCAGAAAACATTTTTACCTTTCACTTTTATTATGCGTGTTTGATTTATCGGTTAGTGACGAGTTTTATGCTAACATTCACGATGTTAGAGGCTCGCCTTTTCGATTCTTTCTTCGAGGTAAGACGATTAAGATCACTCCTGATATCGTGTCTAGCATAGCTCATATCTCTAGAGTCGTCCACCCCTTATTACTGTACTTGACACCTAATATCCTTCCAGCAGACTCTCTTGTCCGTTCGACGGTGTTTAACACACCGTTGAAAGGAGGCCCTAGTGCGATCCGCACTGGCTCTCTTCCTACTGATTGCCAGATTCTGTTGCACATTGTGTGTACGAATCTATGGCCCATGTCCCATACTTCTTTATTGCCTACGGAGAAAACTCACTTTCTTTACGCTTTGCTGCATGGTGATTCCATTAATTTACCATCGTTCATTTGCCAGTAGATTCTTCGTACTTTTCGTGTCACGGGGACGAGAGTGGGGCTACCTTTGCGTGTTTGATTTGTCGGTTAGTGATAGCCCTAGGGGTGAGCTTTCCTGGGCGTTCCGAGGCGGGCTTCTAAGTCGATTGGCCATACCACTATCTCTTAAAGTCGGTCACATGCTTCTTCTGAGTTGGCTCAGCTAGTTGACTAGACTGTGCCGGCTGATCCTATCGATGACTTTATTTCTTTCGATCCCTCGGTTTTCCCTCCTTCTTCTGCTCCTCCATCCACTGATATTCTTTCTTCATCTACTTCTGTTCCTCATCCTACTGAGTCTACTCTTCTACTTGCTGATATTTCGTCTGTTCCCATTGACCTGTCTGTTGTACTTATGGGACATATGATTGTGCTGATCGAGCAGCAAACTTTTATGATGGCAGAGATAACACAATTCCGAGCTATCGTTTTCGACACACTACTGAGTTTCCTGCGCTTCGTGGTGCTGATGGTTATCTTCAGCCAGGGCTGAGCTGGATTCGTCGTCATTGGGATGATGATACAGCCTCTAACGAGGGGATGGATTCTAATGATGCAGCTTAGTTGATAGGTTGCCCCTTGTCATTTTGTGACAAAAAGGGGGGAGTAGTTGTATATATATTTTTTGATGATGGAGTAGTATTTTTTGAGAATGTATATGATTTTAACTACTTGATATGATGTGTCTAAAATTTTGATTAAATGATGATATCGTTTTTGTTAGATTAAGTTTTGATATTTT